ATTTTTCCCATTGACCGCATGCATGTACATTAATAGATCATAAGTTCATTCGGCGCTCACCACAGAAGTGTACCGAGCTTTGACGCCAGGTAAAGCCGGGTGTGCGCGCTTGGTGGTGCCCAAGGCAGGAACGTCGGATGGATCGACCTGTATCTCACTAACGGGACTGTTGCAAAGCGGTCGCAGACTCGATGTCGATCGTCGCTTCGCTGCGTTGCTTGTGCAGCATCACGCATCAAGACCGCGAGCGCTTTGGGACACGAGAACGGTGCCTGGTGAGCCCATGGAAAGAGTGCCTGTCGACAAGGCAAGCGTGGATGAACTTGGAAAAAGACTGACCCCAACAGAGAGCTCGAAGGAGCCTGTTGAGTATCGTGCTTAACTAGCCCTTTTCGGGAGCCAGAATGGCTAGCAACTCGGCTCGACCGATCGAATGCGACCCTCGAATCCGCGCCTTGAGCCGAAGGTTGCGGTCAAACGTGACGAGCGCAACCTTGGCAGTCCCTTGCGCTACGGCTTTCGTGGACTCGGGACTACCCAGCAAAGTTCGACGATCGACAAAATGCGCATCCTGCCACGCGACGGCTCGAAGTATGATCTCGTCGAGACTGCGCGCAAATGTCCCATCGTCCTTGTCATCGTCGGTTCGCTTGCCGATACCGGAAAAGTCGATATCTTCGTTGCGGAAGCGAAGGTCTGGCAAGTAGTTGCCCCTGCTCGTTTGCACTTTAACAAATTTCGCGTGCGTACGAAGTCTTGCCTCGATCAGGCTTAGAGCCCGTGTCGCTTCTTGACCGACAGCATTCTGATTCTTCTTGATGCCGTCGAGCTCGGTGATTACCGCGAGCGGGATGATGAGCGTCCACTGCATCGAGTCAATGAGCTGCTCGAGGACGTCTCCTTGTGTCAAAGCAATGTTGGTGTCCAGCACAAGGATCGAGTAGCCGGGCAAAAGTGGCACCGCAGGCATCAGACTCTTGCCAGCAGCGACTTGCTTCTTGTTCTCTGCGCGTCTCTCAGATCTGCTCAGAGCTGGCGCCGGAGCGCGCGTTCGGGCGTTGTCTTGCGCT